CTTCTCTTCTCTTCTCTTCTCTTCTCTTCTCTTCTCTTCTCTTCTCTCTCTCTCTCTCTCTCTCTCTCTCTCTCTCTCTCTCTCTCTCTCCTGACATTAAAAGGTTTCAATAACCCCCTGGGTTCTGGTGGAATTCTGGGAAGTCTATTTTCAAGTTGCTGGCTCACTGAGGCTGTTCTCATGTTAGAATCTTTTTGGGCCATTGTCATCAGAGATACAGTCCCCAGCAGGGTGACTTTTTCTAAAAGTGCTGCTGTCCATTTGCCACTCGGAAGTGCCGCGTTCCCGATGGCTTCTCAGACTGGGAACTCCTTGGTTCTCTTTATGTTGGTGCTGAGTCTGAGCTCTGTACAGTTGGCTTAACCAGGCTGGGCAGGTAGAGGGCACAGTCTCAGACATGAATATCCGGTAACAGGCAAATCAGAACACGCCCTTCTTATGTCCACCCACTCTTGATCCCAAGAGGTTACGTTTGGGCCAGAGCCAGGGCAGTGCAAGTGTGAGGTGGGAATCCTATCATCCTTCTGCTCAGGGCCCTGGCTCTAATCCTTAAGATTCACCTTCCACCTGATGCCTGAGCATCCCCTGAAGGCACTCGGCAGAAGGCAGCACTCAAAGATGAAACACAAGGCTGCCTGTCAGAGATGCGATCGGAATTACAATGTCTCAGCTAGTGTCAGTCTCAGCCCCAAAGGGAACACGTGAGGTATGACCAGCCTAAGAGGGATGTGTTCCACGGTGGAGAGCGGCAGGGTAATGGCCTTCAACTCTGACCCATTGACATTCACCAGGTTCCTTTGCATTTTCTGAATCAGAATCCAGATAAACTGGCTGTGTGCTTCTCCATCTGTTGACAAATCACCCCCATGGTTCTAGATGCAGCCTGGGTGTACAGCTACAAACTGCAGCGTGAGGTGTACGTCTCAGGATCAGTGGTCCTGATACTCTGAGTGTGAATTACTCTCATTTTTCTTCATTTGTCATGATCCCCGAGGGTTGTCGTCTAGTTTCTGGTTTGGTGTCTTGACTGGGGGAAGCCAGCTGCCTGCATTCTTACACCCCAGTGTGCACACAGGGTACCTGTGATCTTATTTAAATACATATTGATCTGGAAGGCCAAGGGTGGGGTATGAAGCTTTGTATTCTAATGAGCTCCCAGGACGGGATGGGGTGGGGAGCTCTTCAGGGATCACAGTTTAAGAAGTGGAACCCTTCAGACCCCAGCCCAGGTCTTCTTGAAACCTGGCTATGATGTTGGTCACCAGAAGGCTGGTAAGCCTGGCTGCATGAATGCGTGCGTGTGTGCGTGTGTGTGTGCGTACCTGCGTACTGTACGCTTAGTACTATAT